CGAGGAGCTGAACAAGCTGCTGGGCGGCGTGACCATCGCGCAGGGCGGCGTGCTGCCCAACATCCAGGCGGTGCTGCTGCCCAAGAAGACCGAGAAGCCGGCCAAGAGCAAGTAAAGGGGGCACTCTCGACCCCCCCCACCCCGGACTCCGGATCCGAGAACAACCCCCCCCCCTCTCCCTCCCAAAGGCTCTTTTCAGAGCCGCCCACTTTTATTTAAAGAGCTTCTTTTTCGTTATTTAAATGGATGTAGACGAGACGAGAGAGCCCGGGGAGCCTAAACTGGTTTTGGGGCCTGGGTGAAACGGCTTGGTTTTTTTTACGCAGACTTGGTTGGCTTTGTAAGTCTCGGTGTGATCGACCTCCACCACCCCCTCCCCCTTCGCACTACGTGACCGTCGTTGTCCCAAACGGGGAGCAGAGGTTTCGCAATAAGAAGGGGGTTCAAGCGTGGGAAGAGGCCGTGTCTCTTAATTTGTACAGATCTGGAGGGGTTGGGGCATCCGCCCGTGGCACGGTGCACCACCGCACATAACCTGCTGGATCTGGATCTGAAAACTACAGCGCGATGTTTTGTGGGGGGTGGCTTTCCCCCCCCCCCTTCTCCTATTTGTTTTTCTCTAATGCGTTTCTTCAGCTACCGTTTCTTAAAAAGAGAGAAGAGGCGAAAAACCCTGATAGACTTCTTCCAAAATGGTGGCGCATCCCTGCGGAAAACAAGCGAGGCGCTACGCAGATCCGCCGCCCGGACATCTGCCCTCTCTCCTGCGAGACGCACCGAGGCGAAGAGCGCAGCTGGTGGCGTTTTGACGGCTCGTAATGTCGCCCTGCTCCGAGCAGCCTGGCGGGTTTCTCAGAGGGGTGCGCTTTATTTCCCCCCATCGCGTTTGTTTGAATGGTGGCTGGAGGGGGACGGGGGAGGTGTACCTTGGTGACGTTATGGCCCCATCATCTGTTTTACTGTGTCGATTTAATGTTGTAATATCAAGAAGCTTACAATGGTGTTTTATTTCGTAAATAAAAACGAAGCCGACATTTTGTGAAATTTTAAACGGACGCGGGGCTTATTTCGTGTTTTTATTTATTTATTATTTTGCATCAGAAAAAGTCACTAAAGCGCCGGGGTCCTCTTTTAGAGGAAGAAACAAAAAGAGTGCAACCAACGCATGCGCGCCAGCGCTGTAGTGTTCATTTAAATGCCCGTCACCTTATCCTACATTGCTAAATTTGTTTATAACGGTACAAATCAAATGAGAGCATTAACTACAGTTCAGTCGTACTCCATCTGAGACCAGCATCCATATATATGTTGATTTTATCTCTTAAGGGGCAGCTAACGAATCTTTTGGATTCTCACTGTGTGTTATTTCACAAAAGCAGACTGAAATATTTCTGGGAAGCCTCATGCTGTACCTGCTTTGTTAAAACAACTACCCAAGAAACTCGAAAGGTGTCGCACACCGCTTTGCCAAAACAAAATGAGCAACACCATAAAGGGGGGGTCTGGTGGAGATGCTGCTGTGTTGTGATATTTTGAGAGTAGGCAATGCCTCTTCGGGATTCAAGAGGACCAGAATATTGCAAAACCCTGTGAAATATTTTATCAACAGGTCTTCCTGGCCACTAGTAACTGAAAGTCAGTGGTGTCTTTTTATGATAGCCATTATCTCAGGACAAACTGAAGTGGGCACTGGACCTTTGATAAGTGATGACAAATACAGTTAGTTCAATAATTCCTCTAGTATCTTTATTAAGGATTTACCCAAACAAACCCATCAAACTATAAATGTGGATGTGAAAGCCAAAGCTTTCTACTTTCAAACAAATTATCTTGGACCGATTCTGTAGTTTCTCACCTACTGTGCAATGCAAACAACTTAAAAATACTTTCAGAACACATTTCATAAAATGTAGCAGATTAAACATGTATAACAATCTCAAAAACTAATTTGGCTTTTTTAAATAACTATCGTAAGGGGAAAATATTGGAGCCGGTTGGGTGTTTCCTACAGGGGGAAAAAAAACAAACTTCTTGATTGTTTTCAAAATTTTAAATATAATCATAAAAGATTCAATTTCCAAATGAAGGATTTTACTTAATTCTGGCTATATACAGCACAGTTTCAAACTTCACATTCTCTTAATTTTCTTATACTGATAATAAATGTGTGAAAGCAAGAAGATGTTTTGGAAACATAAGTCAAACATGGTACAAAAACATAAAATGTATCTCCTATAAATAAGCCTGGGAGAGCTCTTTAAAAGCCTTTATACCCAGCAAACACAGGAACACAAAGGTCTTCCCAATAATAACTGTTGTAAAGTGCTGAAGAGTTCAGGCAGCAAAAATTGTGAGTGCTTGGCCTTTGTCCATCCATGTTGAAAATTTAAATTCTTTGATCTCACTCTTAGGAACAATATTTCCCAACTATACAATAAATCCCATTTAAATATCTACCAGCACAGCTCTCTCTCCTTAACCTCCCTGGTCTTCTCCATGTGGGTGGTCTCTGTCTGCCCTCGTCATGCTACCGGTCGGCACTCTGATCATGGTAGCCTTCAGTCTTCATGTCGTTCAGGCCCAGCTCCTCGTTTTGCTCGAAGGTTCGCTCGTACTTCTCTATCTTCATCTCGGGGTCTGGCTCGGGCGCGTACACATTCTACAGAAACAAATTATTTCCAACCCGTCGGACATGGGGGAAAAATGAGCTACGGTTTCATCCCCTTCTTACTTTGTATCTTCAGAGGATGTTTACAAATGAGTAATGGATTTAAATTAACTTATGCTGTGGGGGAATATGATTGCATTTGCCAAAACCTGTCTCTGTGGTTAAATGTTCTATCAAGTCAGTTGTCAAAACTGGACAGCACCAGCATGCTACCTCACAAGGCAACAGAAATGTCACCTCTTAAAAACAGAATGCTGAATATGATGATTTTTACAAGTTTGGAGACCTGGTAGCTATTTAGAAACAATACAACTATCAAATGGAGTTTCGTAACAAACGTTTGGGAGGGATGACAACAGCCAAGTTCAATCAGCCTCAGCTGTCAGTAATTCGTAATCACTCCTGCCATCATTTCCTCACTTAAAACATCATCAGTACCAAACCTAATCCCCTTCTCTCCTTCGCATACATCTGCAGCCCTCCTCCCCCTCTGCAGCTGCCCCTAGGTCTCTCCTCACTCTGCAGGGGGCCCCAGCCAGGCGGGTTAAGGCAAATTTTACTGGGACTAAAACACTCCACAAACCTTTCAATACACTTAATTCTTAGGTGTTCTTATTCCCAATGTAGAATTACTCTCCTTTAATATTAACAATGCCAAATACTCACATTCTTTTAAATAATTTTCTGTAAACACCCTCACACTGCCAATTAATTAAATGATCAAAATGGGATGTGAAATAGGTTTAGCCAACTTGAAATATTTAGAGCAATAGTGTCAGATCTACCTACTGTAAGGGTCAACATGGAACACACAAACAGTAGGTACACTTTCCAAGCCAGGTGCCACCAGCTTAGATAAATATTTCATGTGGGTTAATAACCAATGTTAACATTACCTGTAGATAGCTGTTCCCTGCAGGGTCATCAAGAATGATATGGGCCTCCATCTCTCCAGCAATGATCTAGAGAGAAAACACGTTGCACATCAACACAAAGCAAAGGACCATCTTAAAGCAGAAAGGATTGACAAAGAGCACACAGTTCCCTTTCTATTTTACCTCCTTGAAAAACACAGATAAATATTGACTTATAATGAACAGAGTAGTCACACACACAACTCAGTAATCACACACAACTGACAACACAAAATCTTTCCTTAGATGAGGAACATGTACAGCTACAGAGGAAGCCCTCCTGTCACCTGGACTCGCTTTGTTTTCAAGCACACTGATCACAACAGCACCTTATCGTCTCCAGCTAAAAATATACTTGTGTCAAAGGCAACACTTTAAAAAGAACCCACCTGGTCGATCTTTTTGCCAAAAAGCTCCAGTTTCTTGGTTCTTTCTGGAGTGGAGCTGTCTCCACATGTGAAGGGGTTTTTATCGACAATCTAAAGAAAATGTAAAAAATTTGACAACTGAAATAGAGCAGCACAAAAAGGTTAATAGCATAAATGACTTTTCAAAATTGAATTATATACACATTATGTCTTACACAATTCACAGTTCTGGTTTATTTTCAGAACACATTTTTAAGTCTAAATTAATTTTTCAAGACTGTGTTGTGAAGCTTTAAAATGATGCAGGATGGCCTCCATGATTAATAAAAACAAGTTTGACATTTTAACACTGTACAAAGAGACATTGGCTTCTGATGCGAGAGGCTCACCACACCTTCCAGTCAAAACTAACACTCCTCTAAGGCATTAAAGGTGTGTCAGAAGCGCAAAACTGAATTATGGAAGGACAGGAAGGAGAAGCACATCTGCTTTCTTCCTTTGCAGCACAATAGTTACTTCAGCGGACAAGGCATAAAAAAAAGAAATAACTGGCATTTCTAAACTGAGAGCTTAAAATAAACATTTGGGAAGGGAACTGTATCAGCCCGTGTAAGGGAATTGGTAAAGGGAACAAGTCAAAGAAGGTAACACTGACAGGTGGAGCCATGGAGCCTTCTTCAGGTGTTAGGTGTCCAACCCTGTTCCTTTATAAAACAGCACGTGACAAAAGCGTTTCGGAGGACGACGGATGATAACTGCTCCAGGACAGGGTGACGCAAGATGCGTGGGCAGACACTTACCAAGTCTTTGACGTCTTTGAGAAGCCCCTCCACAGTGGTGAACTTGCCCCCCACCGCGGCCATACCCAGCTCAAACTCCAGCTCGGGAATGTGGACGCCGCACGTCTCCGACTGCACTCGGCACACACACACATACAGAAGAGCAAGCTCAGGACACGAGGAGCACACAGTAATCCTGCATGCAAGGGTGAGCGGCTTCATGCATCACAGTGAAGTACACAACATCCAGGCACGTGCACTGGATCTGTCCGATGCCCAGATCTCTTTGACTAGTACGTTCACAAAAGGGTGTTGATGACATAAGCCAAATAAGCAAGATCCTAAACCATCCCACTGCGGTGCTTTCAAGGACACTACAGCATTTTAATTTTACCCTCGGGGAATGGAAACAGTTCCGTCCCTCTTATTTTTCATAACTAACTTATACCACAAAAGAAAAATGGACTCGCATTCACTCACAGTTCAGTTGATGTGAACTGAATGCATCTGTGTAAAAGAGCAGTAAAATAATAAAAGTGCTACAGGTTCAGTAGAGGGTTACCTAATGCAACACGTTGATGTAGCAGGCTTAACCTCCCAAGAGTCAGAGGCCCTAAGGAGCACATCGCTCCAATCGTCCTTTTGGGATTGACCCTCTGAAATAAAAGTCCGAGGATCTTACCTTGAGCAGGTCTCGGGACATGTCGGAGGGGTCTGTGAGGTGTAGTGTTATTCTAGTTCCCAGTTCTTCTGTTGCTCCACCTGATTTCACCTTTACAATGAAATTAATAATAGTGACTAATTTACAACAGTAAATGCACTGCAGGTAAAAGGCACCAAAGCAAAGAACTGGTTCCAGTCTCACATTCTGTGCCTGCATCGCTCAAATCACCTCCCACGAGCCTTCTTAAAAATAAGCCAACACTGGCCTAAATTCATCATTAGAATAAACGTGGACTTGCCGAAGAAACAAGGCGTCCAATCTCATATTCCGAGAAAATATAAACGTTGTAGGAAAAAGTAAATGATAGATACTTGGAGTAAGAATTAACTGTGAAGGGCGATATCTTAAAATTAGCGAGAGAGCCTTACTTCATTGGTCCGATGTCCACAGCTGTCACAGTTGGTCGCCATAATAATCACTTCCTTGAAATGTGGAATTTCTAGCAAGACTGTTAAGGAAGAGACACCCAACGTTTTCAACCCGTCTTAACACAAGCTTTACTCGGAACAGTAAAAGAGTACAACTAGGGATAGAAATCCTGTATAGAAAGGGGTAACCCCAAGCACAGCTCAGGCTGCAAGTTCAGAGTCTTAGATCCAAGCTTTACTGATTTAATGAAATCAAAGATTGCCCTGACCTTAAACTTCTAATTGACCAGCTAGTCACCTGGTAAGCACTATAAGTTTAGAAAAAAATACAGGACTAAGACCCTAAGGATTATCTGTAGCAAATTACTAACTGTTTTTGACTATAGTTGTACTGTCAGCCATAGAGTAACAGGTACAATACTATGAAATTTACTGGTACATAGCAGTTTACAGATCAGGTTCAAATTTGGAATTGCCAATTTTATCATTAAGCACTGCACCAGCTCAAGAAGATGTGCACTTTGTAGGTTAGTTTTTTTATACAAAATCATGTGTTTGTCTGAGCAATCTCCCGCAGGTTAAACAAGGAACTATCGTCCTCGTTGAAAAAAAGAATGTCTGGGTTACAGGGCAAGAACGCGTGTTCTGAATTACTGGCGCTGCTGGTTCAGCAACTTAAAAAGCATTTCAAGATCTCAGTTTTGCTTCTCAGAAGGATACGCACTAACTTCATATTAGTGGAGGCTGGAGCGTTGCACTCTGGGCAGTTGGTATCAAACTTCAAAACCTACAAAACAAAACAGACATCCAATATCATAATTTGTCACAATTTCCTAGATGAAAGCATAAGTACAATAAACTATTTTGTCAAAAATGATAAAGCATCACGCACCTGCAGGTGCAGAGAAATAGCCTAAAAATGAACATGTCACATGTAACAGTATTTAAATATAGAACATTTTTAAAGATGTGTGATCATATTTTATCTTACAGCTGCTGAACAATATTACATTGCATCTTTGTGCATTTAAAAAATAAAATCAACACTACAGCCAGCAAGGTACTGATGAAATTGTGCAAGTACAGCAAGATGTCGCTGTTGGTTTCAAGAAAAACTCTGCCATTCTTATTTTGAGGGGGTGATGGCCTTGCTGGGTCAGGATTGTTTGGAATTGATGATGCATAGTTTACAGAATGCAACCCCTTGTCAAGTAACCTCACACACCTCGTTTCGCAAGGTTTCAATGTCATTTCCAGGTTTCTCCTCTTCATCGTCGTCGTCTGCCTGCAATAAAGTAAAAGTAATGTAAGTGTCTATTATCACTTACTATTTGAAAAAAAAAACTGCAAATCTGAACACCAGGCAGAATTCCAAAAATCCCAGCTCCACACAACCAGGTGCCCCTTACAGGAAACAGGCCCAGTGCCACAGAGCTGGGAAACTATATTGCCACCTCCAAATTACTTTCCAAACAACTCAGCATGCCATCTCACCTTTAACCCCAACTGTATATCCTGTTGGGCTGTCCTCTTATAACGGGTGACGGTGAGTGCTTCATCTTTTTGTGGCACAAACGGGTTCTCCACAAAACTGTTCCCTGAAGGGTCATCAATTATCTAGACGACACAAAAATAACTAATTTCAATAACAAGGAGCAAAAACACATTACAAAATACAGCAAAAAAGTTTTGCACAAGTCACAAAGAGCTGCATAGAATAAAGTCATACAGCATGTTCAGGTGATTGCGCACAAACCTTGTTTCTTCTCAGCTTTTTTTGAAACTGCTATACAGTCCATGTTCCCATGTAGCCATTCAGATTCACCTAATTTCAATGATCTATTATACCATCTCTTTAGAAAATAAACTACAGACACATTACAGGGAAGTATAAAGGGTCATTTCATATTTAGGACATTTTTAAAAACAATTTCTGGTGCGTTATCCATCTCTGTAAATCACAAACTGCAATTTACTTTTGGACATACTTAAGACTAAAATGCCACAGGATTGACGTCCGTGATATAATATTTTATATAAAAAACAGAATGAAAGTCAAGGATATTAAAATAATTAATGTTAATTATGTTAATACCTTACCGTTATAAAATGGGTTACAGAGTGAAATTCAATCACCAAGCTCCCCAAGACAAAAATACCTCTAAATAAAACATTGCTACAGTTTTACCAGTCACTGAAACTCAAAACAGATGTTTTGCTATGGTCTTACTACATATTTTGTAATTGTTGGAAGATCAAATTAAAATACATGAAAGCAACAATCATTCTCTTGTTTGCCAATTACTCATTACTTGCCTTTGACGATTTGAGACTGGTGGACCAAAATATAGGCAGAAAAAACAGGTTGTGGAAAACAGTCCTGCTCGTGAAAGCTACTCACCAGGGTAAAAGGACTTTCCACATCTTTCAACTTCTTCAGCTTCTCGATGAATTCATCTATTTTTGAGGCGACCTCTGGCGCTGTTGTCTTAAAGGAAATGACACAGTGTTTAAATGCACACAAACGTGTTTTAAAAGAGCAAAACAAAGACAATTATAACAATAATAACACTGCACTAAGACTCAAAAAGGTTGAGAGGTGAAAAGGCAAGATTCTAAACGATCCTGCGGATATTATGATCACAACCTGCTCCAAAAGGACCAGTTTTAAAAAGAAAACCTTGCAGAGACTTCGTGCATCAGGCTCAGTGTGAAAATTAAAGGTTTTCGTACCCTTTTACCAATTCTGAAGCAGGGGGTAAGAACGGAAGGGAGAGAAGAGAATACATTACACCAGTGCAGTTTGCGGGTTTACCTTTCTTGTGGGTTGGTCTTGCTCCAGTCCTGCCACTGCCCTGTCAATGAGACCCTCGATGGTGGACAGGGCTAGTAAAGTAACAAAAGAGCAAATCATTCAGGATGTGGAGCACTGGTTGATGCCATACAATCAGCATGCCAGCAACCTCTTTTGTAAGTATATACCGGTGCTGCCGTTATTCACCCCTTCACACAGCTCAGTGGTCTGTGTGGTCTCAATCAACTGATCTCATTTTTCTCTTTACATGGTACTGAGCATTTCCCAGGATATTGTGCACTCAAAACCGAAGTCACCTTCATTCATTTTAAAGGCTGCAAGGATACTCAAGCTTTTCACCACTATGAAGTACACGCACACGAAATTCAACGCACATTACAAGGCAAGTAAAACTCCACAACTCTGACCTTACATTACAAAATGGAATGTATTCAAAGAGTCCCGTAAAATCATGCATCTTTTCGCTTTTAGTAAGCCACCTATTTTAACGTAATTATTATCATACATATATAAGACCATGCAAAACCTCGTAGCTCGGGATCACAGGACGTGCCATTCTCACCTCCCTTCTGTGTGAATGCTGGAATCTCGAAATCGAGCTCTGGGATCCGTGTTGTGGCACAGTCGGCTTTAACCACTTCACGGTTCATATCCTGCAGTTTAAAAAAACAAGAGCTCAGCTACCGCTGCAAAGAGCTAGTCATTTTTTTCCATAGATACATGATTTCTTAAACATTAAATTTGCTTAAAAGGTAAAGTCCAGGATTATATATAATTCATCATCTTAATCCACATACCCCAATGTAGCCACGTGTTTGCCTAACTCATTGTGGAAACTTTTATCTTACGGATACAGAATGCAATTCTAAATCAGTTTCTACACAGCCTCCCATTCAATAACACTCAGGGGGGAGACTTCTGATTTACTGCCTAAAACAAAAGAACCTAAGGAAATGCAAGACGTAATAGAAAATAAGGAGAAGGCTTACAACACATTTTACATTGCACACTAATGCCTTTGTCACTTCTTGGGAGGCTGGGGATTGTTCATATCGTGCAACGAGTGGCGTCTGCAGGCTTCAAGTAGGTTTAAAATGGAGATGCACCTGTTTCGATCGGACGAGGAGAGTGTATGACACCCCCTCCTCCTGGATGCGCCCGGCTGACTGGATTTCAGTGTTGGACCAGTTGCAGTTGGGACAAGTGAAGGAGCTGAGGATGACTTCTTTAAAGAACGGAATCTTCGTCAGCAGAAGGCGGGTGGTCCCCTGCAGGAGAAAAGGGACAAGCGTTTAAGTCAATACCTCCTGGTAAATGATTTACAATCCGCCCAAAGCGCTCGGTCAGGATGCATGACGCTTAAAAGTCGCTCTATTAAATTAGCAGCAGCATGCTGTCTCTCTACTGCACTACACAAAACCTGATAGCATGACAGCTCTTGCTTCGCACTATTTTAAGGAGCCGCAAGCATCTGTCTTTACATCTCCACTGCTGTGATTTTTGTTTAACTGCTCCGACCTTCAGTTTTGATTAATGAAAGAAAAAGGAAGGAGAGAAAACTGTACTATCCAACGGTGCACAGTTGGTACCTAAAATCACGTGTCGCTTGGACTTACAGTGATGATACGACGACAGGCGACTAACCAAACCGAACACGGATGGAAAACAAAAGTTCGTCCCCCAACAGGGACACAAGTAAAAAAAAACACTTTTATTTGTTTCTGTAAAAGAGGTCAAATATATTCAATGACTTGTGTCTGGGACTAGTGAACACTTAAAAAAAAAGTTAACGTTAACATACATTCTGATAACAGTTCATACACAGGCTCTCGATCTCCGTGGGCTGTTGGTCCTCGTCCTCCGCGCTTATCTCCTTAAAAACGACTCTTCCACCCCGCACTTCTTCTTCGGCGATTACAGACATTGTGCCTACACCGCAGTTTCGAGCACCTTAACGAAAACAGAGCACGCCACCTGCTATGTTAAAGGCTGTGCCCTCCTAACTCCAGCAACTTCTAGACGTTTCCTAAGCTCGCTGCACAAACCACGTTGTTCCGCTTCACCCGGAAGTAATTTGTCCGCTGACCCCGCCCCACGTGTCATCTTTTTCATCTTCTCCATTGCAGTCAGCCCAGATGTGGCTAAATGCTATTTTCTGTAGGTGGGGGAGAGTGGTTCTTTGCCTGTCTATGTTAGTGTTACGTTAACATTTGTCGTAGAAATTCTAATAAAACAAAGGATTCTTCGTATTTTGGGACGTTTGACGTTTTTATGAATACAGAACTTTTTCACCTGCCTGGCGTTAGAGAGATGATTGTACAAAACCCCCAGATAAGCATCAGCATCACCACCCTCGTTCATCGATTTGTTATGAACTCTCCCACTGCAGCTTTTACACTGTGTTTCATTGAATGTTACTTTATCTAACTGGCCTGTCTTTGATGGCTAAATTCTAGTCTCTTGCGTCATATCATAAGCGTAGCTGTACCTCTCTGTTGCTCTATTAGCTGTCGACTGCAGAGCTGATACTGCACCCCAGAAACGTTGTCAACAACCTGGAGTCGCAAGGTGCAACTGGGATCGTAAAACTAATCTTAATATAAAAAAAATAAGTTTTAACTGTGAGTTGTGAGCTGGTGGTGGGTTGGAGAACTTAAACCGATTTGGCCGCCCTATTTTCTTCTTAGAAAAGGAACATTTCTTTGTACTTCGCTTAGCAAGAGGAAACTTCCTTTTTTAAAGGGGAGATGTGCCGTAGGGGCAGAGTCCTGGGCTGTGGAAGACTGAGGTTGAAATCTTTAAGCGATGTACTTCACACGAAAGCGCATTCTTCTATACTTCTGGCCTACAGGACGCAGTTGTCTTTTTCAATAACTGTGCCTGTATTAGAAAATGCACGGAGTTACGTTTCAAGTTGTAAAATTTTCATACTGTGCACACACACAAAAAAAGGGATATACCTGTACTTCTTTGTTTGAAGACCGATTTAAATCCGAGTGGGATATTATGGAGGAAGCTACAAAAGTTTAGGGTGCTTTTCTTAAAATTGTTTTAATATACCCGTGAAATATGCATATGATGCATCATTTCACACAATATAGGAAGAAATAACAGGGAGATTAAAGTAAACAGAAAACTAAGCTTACCGACACGTGGAAAATGTAAGACAACCGTTACATTCGTGCAAAAAAAATATTTTATTGATAAAGTTCCTTATCAGTATAACTATTCAATTAAAAAGTTTATTCATCCCAGGAGGACAATTTAAGCAGCGAGCGGTGCAACATACAAGACAAAAACAAAGAAAGAAAACAATTAAGAAGTACACATGGGTATAACAGCAATACTGAAGTAATAGTGTATTAATAGGAAGGTATTGATACATCCTCTTGTGTACGAGGGTAAGGGAGGTGGGCTCTGTCCAATAGACATTCAACTAGAAGGTTCTATCAAAAAGTTTCAGCAGTTGAAAAAAAAAAGGTTTCATAAAAAAGTAGTTATAGGAACGTATTGAAGACAGTGCTATAAAACTACAGTCAACTATAGGGTCTATATAATTATAGCATTGTTCTGAATGCTCCTACGAAGTATAGAAATGCTCCAGCATTCTGTGGATAAAAGCTCTCCAGAATTAACCATTAGAGGGCGTGTTGACACGTTGAATTAAAAAAGGCGTTTAGAATCTCGCACACAATTTTAATCTAATCTAGTGTTAAACAGTAAAGGTGACTGTACTGTATAATGTCAAAAACATTTTCACAGTTAATGTAATTAGTAAATCCAAGTTCATTGTTTATTCCTCTACAGTGCTCATTTCCCCGTCATTTTATGGCCATTGAGATTAGGGAAAAAAATATTTTGCTGTACTTCAATTACAGAAACGTATTTCACATTTTCCAGACACTTCAGAGCACGGGCTCGACAAATCACAAGTACTCCTGGACCCAATATGGGACGTAATAGCAGTTTCTTATTGGAAGGGAACAGACTTCTATCGTATGAATTGGGTTATGGTGGTTTTTTGGTTGTCCTTCATCCATAGATGGATGGATTTAGTTAGTCAGACCGTAGTCACCCTCGTGTTCCATCTTTTATATCCTTTAAATGTGATACATGGCGAAATTGGACAGCCCAATGGCCACAGAGCTGACATACAGACCATTTCTTCAACTTTATATCAATGCAGATGGACATTTCTGTTCCAGATGGGTATTTGTTTGTCTTCTAAAATCATAGGATAACCATCTTTTTAATAGGTGTCCTTTTCCTTACATCTTCTGTTGTCTGAAAAAAAAAACACAAAGATTTGGACGTATGGTCTCGAGTATCTGCCGAGGCTCAGTTCTTAGCAGAGAAGTTTTTCTAAGTTAAGTAGATGAGCATTACAGCCCTCCTCAGAGTCCTCATTCACTCTTTAATTAAAATGTACAGCAATGGAAACTTGATTTTTATGTGCAATTTAATGTCCTTTTGGTGATAAAGAGATAGGAATGCAATTCTTCACAAAGTTTAGAAAGTCATTTAATCATGTCCATCTGTCAGCTTTAGAGTGTGCTTACTTCTTTGCTGCTCTTAAATCAGTCCAATATTGCTTTACATTAACCTACCACACTTCCTTTTGCGGCAGCAGCAGATTCCAATACCCACAATGGTCACGAAGACGACCACCAGGAAAATGGGCAGAGCTACAAGTTCTGTACTCAATGGCTTGGGTTCGGTGCACAGAGGATCACCTGTGATGCAGAGAAAAGGCATCCATTACACTCCCAAGGGTACACAAAACAGGCTTCATCTGGCACACTGCATTATTCCCACTGATGTTAAGTGCAATTATGAAATTATGTTTATGACCCAAACCCAATGCACGAAGCACAGCCCTCGACTCATCATGGATGTACTATATTCTTTTTCTCTAGAATATGATTCATTCTCCCTGCTGATTTATTCCTTAGACTTAAAAAAAATCATTTTGCAAGATCAATAACCCTCTGCATTGTGCTACACAACACCCATCTATGATTTAGAAGAGCAGTTTATTCCCATACAGGGTAACAGTGACCCACAGACAGCAGATATAAGGCAGGTTACACCATGGATGAGAAGCCAGTCCTATGCCAGTGTTAAACAAAAAGATTTCAAGTGCACACATACTGTTTAGTATGATGTAACTACTTCAATTTCAAGTAATTACACTTGACATGCAAGCAAAACATTTTAAAATCACAAAAGATTAAGGTACAGTTCAATTGGAACTGTAACATTGGAAAATAAAACTCACAATTTTCACAAAGTTCCTCAGATCCGTTCAGCGTGTGCCGTGCCAGCTTCTGGCTCACACTGTTCCGAGCCACACAGATGAATGTATCGCACCTGTGAGCCGTGATCTGAATATTGGTGTACTGAAACCCCTCCAAGAACTTGGTCTCTGATGACGCTGATGACAGATTGACTCCCTGCCAGTACAACTGCATGTTTCCTATGTTAGGAGCCCTGCATACTAAGGACACCGTCTCCCCAGAATGTGCTGTTCCCGGAGTCTGTTCAATTGTTGGTTCTTGTACAGCATCTATTGAAGGTGAAAGATAAAAGACAAATTCAACACGTAAAAAGAACCCCAAAGTCCTTTTTCGAGGCGCACATTACTTCCAATACAATTGCCAGAAACATGTTTGTTTTGTTTTTTTAAAGAAAACGATCTTATCACCAAACCCCTCAGCACAAACCTTCCACGCAGAGCTCCACAGTCGTCTCTTTTTCAGCTCCTCCTTCCTCGGCCACGGTGAAGATGTATCGACCTGCATCCGAGTAGTTGAGTGCTTCCAGGAGCAGGGAGCCGTTCTGAAACACCTGCACTCTGCTCTCGTAGTCCTTGAAAAACTTGCTTTTGCCATTAAATGTGTAAATCTTCCAGTATTCCGTGTCTTTTTTAAAGTCCCACGAAAGGTCCAGCAGCTGTTTTCCTCTGGTTAGAGTGTAATTCACGGAGAGGAAGACAGATTTGCCCAGCTCCCCGCAGACTGCACTGCGTTCACTTCCAACATGGAAGGTTTCTCCTGTAGGCACTGAAAAACCAATGAAGATACGTCTGAAAAGGTGTAACCCTGCAAACCACTGGCAGTGGGATTTCAAACCAAGAACAGGAGGCACTTTACATAAAGAGTTGTGGGAGTTTTAACAAGCTACCAAGCAATGTTGTTGAAGTTTTTTTTTTTGGGGGGGGGGAAGAAACTATTCTAGTAAGTGCAAAAATCATACAACAATAATAAAAGCCTCAACAAATGACCAGTAACCACAGATAACCAAAAAAAATAATCTAAGAAGCCCAGAGAAATAGCTTCTCTTAAAGCAGTTGTCCTAACCACGATAAATTAAAATTTAGCACCAGGCTTGGCCATAGACTATAAAGAATTCTTGTGACCAAAAAAGGAAGCAAAACCATAATTACACTTCACAAGCCCTTGGAGTTTCGCTTTGCAAGGATGTGTTGTCACTACAAACCTAGAGGTCATCATGCTGTTTGATAAGGTGCGTTCCGCAGTTCAGTTCTTGCTACTGGCCTGTCGTTAACAGGCGTCACTCACCGATTACTGAACTCACAGGTCAAGTGACCCAAGTAAAACAGAGACGAGTTGTAATCCCAATTGACACTTTTCGTTTTCAAATACTATCTGTGAACTTCCCTTCAACTTACAAATGGGCAGAAGAGAGTAAAATGAATGGACATTATGCAAAGAGTTTGATTCAAAGAACAACAATATCAGGTACTTAAAAATGAGTCTTATGCTTTTACATAGCATGGAAAACAAGTATCGGTGCCTTATATTTTCTTTAGGTCTAGTTTTGGAGAAAGCAGTGACAGGTCACTTGGAGAACCTGAACAGAAAGCATTTCAGGCTAAAAGCTGTGGTAAGAGAAATCCGAAACGGAGCACAGAAACATGTGACAGAAGAATCCGAAAGAAAAACCTAGTCACCAGCTACATCAGTGCGTGTCAAAGCTCATCCTGAAGGACTCTGAAGCCATTTCTAAGTCAGTGTGAACACTGAGGAAATGCTGACTGAGCGATCTTTCCTAATCGTTTAAGAACCAAAAAGGGACTTGCTTACCTGGGGAAACAAAGGAGAAGAACGACAGCCACAACACGAAGCACAAAGTAATCATTTGCGGACGTCTGCATTTGTCAAACGAGGAACACCGACCTGGCAGGTTGGCTAAAAAGTCAATTGCTGGAACAGGTGCAAGTGACAAGAAAGAAAAGGAAGTGTTACGTTGCTTTTTAAAAACCAAACTGCTTTTTTCATACTTCAGTAGTCATCTACTAGGAAATAAAAACACGAGGTTAGAGGTTTGTTGTGGGCTGACTCCAGTTTTGGTGAAGACCACCTTTCTACTTTCCCCCCCCATCTGTCACAGCAAAAATTGTGAAAGACATTCAAACGAAGACTATTAGTCCAGTGAGTTTGTTAGCTTAGTTATTGTTTTCTTAGAACCTGACATGCCAATACATTTTTGTATATTATATTGATAGAATTGTTTGTAGATCTCAGACGTTTTTTCATATCTTATACTAATAAAAAAAACAGGGTAAAAAGCTACAGTTCCAGTTGATCGTTCTGGTATTCAGAAAATGTGCCTTTTGCCTCACTAAGTGCACAGAAAGAAGTTAAAATGTACTGTAAAAGTACATACTGTAGTTCAAAGTAACTGGTTTCTGTGCAGCATACCCCTTCAAGTACAAAAACATACTCCTCTGCTTTGTCATGTAAAAGGATTTTTAATCTCTCATCCACACACTATGCCCTATAGTACAGTGTAGAAAATGAAATCAAACTCTAAAACGAGTCATAAATGAAGGCGGCCACCAGCTCCTTATAGAAAAGTAATGTCCCAGTTACTTACTTTAAGAGCCCAGGCTGTAAGCGTTTGAGGAAGATGTGGAATCTCCTTTCCTCAAGCTTTCCACTTCATGGCAAGGCAATAAAAGAAATCCTACGTTAAATCTGTTGCCTGCGTGACCCAGAAATCAGTTTGATTATTTCGACCAGCTTTACCTGCTTCTGACTGAAAACTGAAACAAGTTCTACAACTTAACGGACAGGATAATCAAGGTGCGTCATGAGGCGTGACAGAAACCAGCAGAAATACATACAGTACCACAATTGCTGCCCGATCACAATGCTGCCATTATTCATGTTACACTTGTGTAGAAGGAGCTGGGTTATATAGATGCAGGTAAGAAATATCCCCCAAAAGTTTTAAGTAGGCAGAAGCAGTTGAAAGCAGAACATACAAAACAAATAAGTAAAATCTGAAAATAAAAACCAGTCCCGGGAAGAATTTGACCACCTGTTAGCCAACATATGGAAACAGGTGCATAACAATTTTAGGTTGTACATGACCATCTGTGTCGTTTGCTACAGTGATAGTGATTCTAAACATGGTTTATTCCTTTTGTCTAGCTAATCAGCTTTAGTGGAATAACCTCATGTGATTGACATTTCCCTTTTGGGGTCATGAAATGAAACGAGTGGAAGATTACCACATTTTTACAGTAAATAGTGCTACTCACTGAACAGCTGTGTTATCCACTGATCCAGACCCCTTGCTCATTCTTATATCTCAAACTGTCAAAGATCTGTTCATAGGATCAAGGAAGAATTTTGCCAAAAGCTTGAGGGCCATTTTCTACAGGATTGCAAATAAAAATGAACGATCTTGTGAAAGACTGCATCAAATATACAGTATAATCTTCATATTATACCTTATAGAAGGATCCATGTTTTAACCATGGTGATCCATAAATAGCCACAAAACAAACATTCATCTCAACAAGACAAAGCATCTCAAGATAATCACAAGTGTTTTGAAAATCCTGGCTTATGCTTTTGGTTTGATTCTTGACAGTATAACTTGACAGAACTCTGAGGATATTATTGCAAGGTGAATAAAAAGAAAATCAGACTTTCAACTAAATCAATTAATTCTACTCTAGATGAATTTAGAGCAATAACTACCCAGTTATCCAGTTCAATGCCATAATAGTTAACTAGATATTTTAGCAGAAGTCTGAGACCTGTTTATTCAGAGTTTATGTAACTTATTCTGTTAAAAGCTGGAATCTCATGGAGTCAGTCTATTCTTTTGATTGGCATGGTCAAACCGTCTCACTTTTTTTCTCTCCTTTTAAAACCCAGCCACTTTAACCATTACCCTGAAATCTTGTTTTTGTCTTTTCTGGCTAGTGATACCCATTTAGTGTACATTTTAAAGAGTATTTTTAAGTCCTTAACACGATCCTTGTTAAACAGGATGTAGGATCCCACTTTTGCCCATTTTAAAATGGTTTTGCATCTCAATTCCAGGTAAAATCCTGTGATTTCAATGCCATTACAAAGCAGGACTCCGGTGCCTAAAGAAATGCAATTGTTAAAACGTAGCCAGGTGTAGTTTCAGCAATGGAGGTACTGTACAGTATCTGCTTCTCCTTGTAAGCATGTGAGGTGAAATTCCAGTGTATTCATGGCAGGTGATAAACATCACTGAAAATGAGAAATCAACTACAATGGAATATACACAAAAGGTTCACCAAATTTCTACTTTGATGTGCATTTCCCCTTTTTATATAAAGAAGTTCTGTTTCTCAGAGAGATCAAAACCACAACCTTCCAGATCTCACAAACTGAAAATGCCAAAGGTCTAAATAAAGATCTTAAACCCTCCTTTAATGCCAGCTAGCCAACAAAACCATGTACAAATTCACGTTTGTTTAATTCCCTTTTCAGCATTGGAATAAACCTTAACTTGTTCCTTTGCAGCCTACACATGCTGACAGCTCCCTACTTGAACTAGAAAAAAAGTTTCCACAACTGAAGGGGGCTCAACAGCTGAAATGTAATTTTTCTACTTTTGTTTTTACTGCACAAGTCCAAGGGAATCTCAAAGGCCCTCAAACACTCAGTGTGCTTCTCCTGTGATTATATTCAACTGCTGTGACTTCTGAAAAGTTTTGTGAATTATACTTCATACAAAAGGTACATATTTTGTATAATGTGTGAAAGCCCCTGAGAGCAGCCTATGAAGGTCTCCCAGCAATAACCTAGTACTGAACTACAAGATCTTGCTTACATTACAACAAATGATCCATGTCCCCACTAATTACAGAAACACCAAATACATTGACAGATATGACTAAAATGCTAATGATTTAACTGAAAGCCAAGAGTAGAAATGAAGGAAAGAGATAGAGAGAGAGGGCACATTTAAAGCAGAGCAAACATTACAAAAAGTGACCTAGACACAGGAAAAATAATCTGTAAGAAACTAACTATACTGTTGGATCCAGGATTTAGCTCAATACATTTACAAATGCAAGACAACCCATTTGAAAAAGCTACAGAACAAAAACCCACCTGGAGCATGACTCCCTTTCACTTACCCATGATCGCTCTGTAGTCAAGGTGTGTCCCTGTGGATCGTCCTCTCAAGTCCTTGGTAAGTGGTGACTGTTCCCCACTCAGCTTCTGGGGGTGGCTGAGAAAGTGACATTTTCATTTCAGGAAATGGTTAGGGCACATCACATGCAGGTAGTGGCCAAAAGTGAAATACTTGTGAGGTTAAACTCAGATAAAACATATACAGTTGCAAGAAGGTTTGGGAACCCTTTGGAATTACCTGGATTTCCGCATTTTTGAGTAATGTCATCTGATCTTCAATTAAGTCACAATAGACTAACACAAACTGTACTTCTCATCCATATCGAACACATTGTTTAAACATTCACAGTCCAGGCTGAAAAACTGTGAAACCTCGTATTTAGTAACTGGTAAAACCTCCCTTAACAGAAAAAACCCCCACCAAACATTCCCTGTAGCTGCCGATGAGACTTACACAACCATTATTTCCTCCTTACAAATCCATGTAGATTTATCAATATTTCTGGGATTCCTTGAGTAAACAGCTCTCTTCAGGTCATGCCACAGCAACTTGAATGGGCTGAGGTCTGGACTCAGATTTGGCCATTCTAGAATACAAATTTCCTTCTGTTGAAGCCAGAAACTTCAGAAATGCTTTTGTAGCCTTTTCCAGCTTTATGCATCTCTACAATTCTTCTAAGGTCTTCTGATATTCCTTTCAATCAGGGCATAGTTCACATGAACACTTCTTTTTTTGAGAAGAGCGGACTCTGTCAGAACCCAACCTTTGTGTGCCTTTTTTATAGGGCGTGGCACCTCCAATCTCATTAGCCTAGAGGTTCACATACGTTTTCCAGCCTAGACTGTGAATGTTTAAACGATGTGTTCAGTACTGACAAGAAGTACAATTGTTTGAGTGTTATTAGTTTAAGCAGATTGTGTTTGTCTATTATTGTGACTAAGTTGAAGAACAGACCACATTTTTATGAGTAATTAATACAGAAATCGAGGTAACTCCAAAGGGTCCACAAACTTTTTCGTGCAACTGTACGAGACATACCAACCCTAATCCAGGCCCTCCGGTATTCAGTTTTTTGTGGCAAATGTGTTCTTTAATTTATAAAAGACGTTACTGACACTTGTTCAATGCAATTCTTTAAGGGAAAAAAAACAGACCTAATGAATCAATATTTAAGAAAAACAAAAAGATATGAAATGATCCTAACAATTAAGGAACCCTTAGAAGTGGATTAAACCCAATAAAAATAATAAAACACCTGTTAGGCAAGTTTCAGGATACGAATCAATGCCTTTTCCGTGTTAATGAGGTAGCTGTAGAACTCTTAACATTTTTATTTTGATTCTTATGTCAAAATATAGCATACACATCTGCATGTTTACTGTCTCTTTGTCTTGATTATTAAAAGGAAACTTGTGTAGGAGGAACGGTTTCTGGAAAAGGAAACTATTTCTGGAGCATTTCAATGTGCTTAATCAGACTTGTGAAGTCCCCCAGTCTACTTCCTGGGAAGGAAAAGCTCATAAAATACAATCAGTCACACTGAATGTATTTTAACTTACTTAATTAGAACAAAAATAAATTGACCACCTCACTACAGTGCTGTACATGCGTGAGGAAGAGACCTTGACCAGTCCACACAGGCAGCATTCCAAGAGAACCTCATGCAATTGAATCCCATGGAAAGTGCTCCATATATTGCAAATAATAAAATGTTACGAAGATGGGCGGCACAGCGGAATTATAATTGCTGCCTTGCAGCACTGGTGTCCGGGGTCCACTTCCTAGAGTGCCGTCTGTGGGAAGTTAGCATGTTCTCTATGTTTGCATGGGTTTCTTCCAGACCGAAGACATTCTGGTAGGTGAACTGGGGTCTGGTGTGAGTGAAGAAGTGCTTGTGTATGCCCCTGCGATGAATGCCTTCTGCAGGCTCCTGTTTGCCGAGATAGGCTGCGGCTCCCTCCCGTGACCCTCACTGAACAAACCAGATAGAAAAAGGATGTAAATATTGCTGCTTTGTGATTTACCTGGGTGCTCAGGGTGCTTGAGCATCGTTATAGTCTGAAGGGAGCCGAGGACGTTGTCTCACTCTCATTACCTGAATATTTATTTCGTTATTGTTTCTCCGATGGTTTGAAACGAACCAGTCTCCCCACTCTCGTACTGTGGTGTCTGAGAGGCAGACTCGTGTGTCTAACCTGTCTCACAGCAGTCCTCAAGTGCTCACAGTCTCCACAATTTCACCTGTAGGGCTTTAATAAAGGTTTAGTAGATCATTTTTCTGTAGATTTATTTCTGTGATGCTGATATGACAATAGGCTCATGCTCAAGACACATGACACCAGGAGGAAAGTGTTCAGTAATGTCGATGAACTGGTCTTTGGAATGCCCTGAAGGACTATCTTGCATTTTTCACTGCAGTGTTATTTCCTCATTGCTCCCAAGGCTGAATGTGATTAACCCTCACTACTACTACATTCTCCAACCTCGCCCCTTTAACTAATCATTAGCTACAACAAATGACCTTTGTCCCAGTAATAAAAACTGAAGTAAGAGAACCCACGACAGCACTAGTTAGTCCTATGACACAAAGCTGAAAACTGATTAATTTGACCAATTAAACTCAATTTAATCCTTCCCAAAAACATCTGTCGGACACCTGCCCCCACCTGAGCCGACACTATCAGACCCTATGCAGGACAAGCCTGAGACGAGGGCGTTACAGGGTGGGGTAGGAGGCCATGAAAGAGGCATGCAGAAAAATATAAAGGAGGACGAGGAGAAATAAAAGCACCCCAGATATGGTAGATTTCAGGTAGAAGTTTAATTTTCCAGGATTTAAAACGTATGGCCAGTGTGAACTAGTTTCAGCATTACATTGACCACACTGCCAGCTGCAGTGCAGCGGTTCTAGTGCTTCAGCAATTCAATCATAGCAGCTTACATCGGTATGAATAGTGGACAGCCAATGACCAGCCTTGGCTTGCAATCGGAGTCCTTGGGGTTACAGTACATCGATCGCTTAACATTAATCCACCTCCTCTATGGTGGGACCTGAAGAGCCGCCGCCGCCGCCACCAGAGGGAGCTGCCCCAGCCCCTGGGAACCCCCCTGGCATGCCTCCGGCACCCTGGTACAGCTTGGTGATGATGGGGTTGCACACCTTCTCCAGCTCCTGCTGCTGGTGCTCGTACTCCTCCTTCTCGGCCGTCTGGAAAAAAAGTCACAGTTATCGCACCGTTCAAATGGCTTTATTCTACTTTTGAAACGGGGAGGGGGGTGAAGAAATTAAGAACTAAGAGGTTTCCAAGTTTTGTTTTAAACGGACCACAAGGTATAGCAATAGCATGTTTTAGAAATGAGGGAAAGTTAATCGGAAAGCCACGCAGAACTTTTAGAACGTTTTGCTGCAGTGTTGAGCAATATGTGAACTTGCTCTTTCACTAGGTTCAACCGAACACAAGATAAAGGCTTATTGCCAGGGGAACCCCATGAATCCCCAACATACACCTTTAAATCCAATAACTAGGACCCATGTACAGGTCAGTTGAGTTCCAGTTAAGAAGCTACAATAAAAATGATTCAGTTCCAAGGAGGAGTCCATACCTGGTTCTTGTCCAGCCAGCTGATGACTTCATTGCACTTCTCCAGGATCTTCTGCTTGTCCTCATCACTGATCTTGCCCTGCAGTTTGTCATCCTCAATGGTGGACTTCATGTTGAAGGCATAGGACTCCAGGGCGTTCTTGGATGAAACCTTGTCGCGCTGCACATCATCCTCAGCCTTGTACTTCTCGGCTTCCTGCACCATGCGCTCAATATCCTCCTTGCTCAGACGACCTGCATCCAGAAAAACAGCCCATGAAGCCAGACTGCTTTCATCACAGACAGCCTCACACTGAGCTACAGGCTACTGAACCAAGCGTACCTTTGTCGTTGGTGATGGTGATCTTGTTCTCCTTGCCAGTGCTCTTGTCGACCGCAGAGACGTTCAGAATGCCGTTGGCATCGATGTCAAAAGTGACCTCGATCTGAGGAACACCACGGGGAGCTGGAGGGATGCCGGTCAGTTCAAACTTGCCCAGCAAGTTGTTGTCCTTGGTCATCGCTCTCTCACCTTCATATACCTGTCAAGACATCCAGTACCAATGTTACTACATTCAGTCAAAAACAATCTAAGCAAGGTAGACTCCAGGAAATATATAGGGAGGGGGAGCTCATAGGCGGCTCCAAGTAATTGTAAAGAGGGTTCGCTCAGACATCCAAGGAAGGTACTTGGGCCATCTTTGGTCTCTCAACCTCTGGTGGAAACTACGAATGGCTTAGGAATAGACTTCATCACA